GAGTCAGGCCTGATACCAGCTCCTCTCCCCCTTTTTGTTTTTGCAGCATTTCCTTAAGGGTGCAGTTCTGCCGTTCAATAATTGCTTGACCTGTACTGTTTCCAGGAATTCCTGTAATATATTTAATATCAAATTGTTGGAAAAAATGTTGACACTTACCTGATAAATATGCTGAGCCATTGTCAGTTTAAATGGCTCGGGGTTTGCCTATTACAGCAAAGGCTTTAATGCTGGATTTGGAATTCCAGGTTGTAAAGGTCCCATAGGCTCAATAATCTTATTAATCTGTTTTAAATCAGTAAGCATTCTCTATTTACCTGATTTTTTCTTTATAACAAAGACAGGGGAATTCCATGGACTAGAGCTTGTTTTAATATGCCCTAGTTGTATCTGTTTTTTAATAATGATTTGAAGTGCTTCTAACTTCTCTCTTGTTAGGGGCCACTGCTCTACCCATACTGGTTTAGTTGTTTTCCATTTTAATGGTAGGGCGAAGCGCTTTGGAGTGGCCGGCCCCCTTTATAAATTTTGATCCTGAACATTTGTCTATGGCCTTTTTGTAGAGAAGGTATAGTAATTGTAGCCCCCATTGTTGTAAAAGATCTCTTCCCCACAAAGATAGTGGAATGGAGGCAACATATGGCTGAATTTGGCCCTTTTGTCCTTCAGGCCCCTGGCATTCAAGTACATTAGAGCTTTGTAAAATTTCAGTGAGGTTTACAACCTGTAAAGGTTGTATTCACCTTGTGTACCAGCCAAGATTGAGGCCAGTGCAAAGTAGAAATTATAGTTATATCAGCCCCAGAATCCACCAGGCTGATAATTTTTATTCCCTCCGGGAATATTACTGTAAAAATTGAAGTCTTTGGCCTCCTAAGATTGTATGCTAAAAAACCTTTTTTCCCGTGCTACCAAATCCCCCAGTTCGCTTAACTGGTGCTGTATGCCCTATTTGTTTATAGGGAAGTAATAATAACTGTGCCATTTTTTCTCCAGCCTTTATATTTATAATACTAGAAGCAGACATCAGAACTAATATTTCTCCTTCATAATCTGCATCAATAACTCCGGGGTGAATTTGTAAACCTTTAGTTGTCAGGCTACTTCTTCCTAATAGCAATCCTACTGTTTCCTTAGGTAAAGGTCCATAAAACCCAGTGGGTATTTTCTGTACCCCTTCTTTCTTCTCCTATTCTTTTTCTCGGGGCCTCGAGCTAGGCCCTTCTTTCTTCTCGTATTCTTTTTTCTCGGGGCCTCAAGCTAGGCCCTGAATCTAGTTTCCCGACTGCACGGGTGTTAATGGGTTGCCGCCTTTATCTTTAACAGACTGGCATTCACTGACCCAATGTTCCCCTTTTACATCTAGGGCATAATCGGGGAGCACTTTTGACTTTCCCTTGTGAGACTTTTGCCTTCCAACAATCCTTTCTTTTATGTCCTTCTCTCCCACATTCAAAGCATTTAATAGGATGAGGAATTGCAGTTTTTAATGCATCAGCAAGAAGATTATTATTATTATTAATTATTTATATAAGATTTTAATATAATTATAATT